TATGTTGTGGGAGGAGGAGTTGTAGATGTTACGCGCAAATTATGGCATAATAATATTTCAACACGAACGAAAGATATATATACAAAAAAACTGTTTTCACTGGAAAATTGTTTTGGGTGTTCTGCATCCGATACCGATGATACCGTTGAGTTCTTCTCTGATGAACGTTTTAGCACTCATTTATATACGATCGGCGGCAGCGGCGAGGTGGTGAGTTTTTCGTATACCGACAATATTTATGTATCCAATTTAAAAAAAAAAAATAGTTGAACTGAAATCCGACCCAAATTCGAATCACTTATGAGATACAAAATCCTTTGGTATATTCTCACCTCCAAGGTTCTTTGGATACACGCCAATATGGATTTTCTTTATAGATACGCGAATTATTTTGTCAACGAACAAAGTAAAATGTAAATTACAACTTTTCTCGCAGAGAATTTAATACAAATAAGATCAAAATGTATCCATCTTATTGTTTTTTTTTTCGTCCCCAGACGTCTAACTTAAACAACGCATCGCCCAAGTAACAATTATGTGGGTAAATGTTGGTAACTAACTTAAATTAAATTTCACGTGAAATTAAGCTTTTTATTTCTATACAAAGAAAGAACGTCGCAGATAACGGCTTGTAAAATTACTTTTTATTTCTCTGAATATTCCCTTACGATTTGCCATTTACAAATATAATTAATGTCACAAAACACACTTATTTAATATTATTATTATGATTTCAAGGATTATTATAATGATTGAGTAGGTATATTTTTTATTTCCTAATTTTGATATTCCTAGATTTGACATAATAGCAATTATTTTAATACCTAGTTACAAAAATACTAACGTTGTTGATTTTATATACGCTTAGAATCATTCATGCTGTATTATAATCTATCTAAAAATATTCTGGCGTACATAATATATAAATTCTAATAAGCAAAAAATGTTTCATAATTTTATGTTTTAAAAATGATGAATATTGATTTTATAGTTAATTACATTTGTTTCATAATTATTATACAAATTATTTTTTATTAATCACCTTCTATAAACACTTAAACAATAAAGGTATGTTTCTATACCTATAATTAATTAACGCTTTAGTGTAGTTTAATATAATTTTGCATTTTATTTAAAGTGAAATTTAGTAATTCGACAGGTATGTATACTATTTTAAAATTGAATTAGTTGTATGCGTCATGTTTAAAAATATCAGAAATCTTTATTTTACTTCTGTAAAAAAAATAATTTGGTTATTTTTAATTGAACGCCTTCGATTGGTTTTTATCGATTATTTGGGATCAATATTGTTACTGCTGTTAATAATGTACAAGCTTCATTTATTGGTAATCAAGTGTAGGTAAATATACCAGAATTACAATTTTTAAATGTCATTATAATATTTTTTACAATTGTTCATAGAATCGTATTACTGACCGATTAATGAATTGAAAAAAAAATGCATAATATCGAGGTATGAATAACGATTATTATAATTGTACGACCTTCACAAATTCGAGTTTGCAGCAGTCACCAGACCTTTACAAACGTAGGTGATAAATAACGGCTAGGTACTTACGCAATTAGTGCACAATTAATGTACGGAGCACGATGCTCATTTCACAAATAATTAAAGGTGCAGCATAACCACTGATAATTTTATAAAAAGAGTAAACACATGAACGAACATTTATGTATATACATTTAAAACGGTTAAAATAAAAAACTAGAGCACATTAATTCATGTCGACCTGCAAAAAAACCTACATACGTAGTTGTAGACGAGACTTTAGTTGGAACGGAACAAAACATAATTAATGAATTCGTGAAAATATATGCGTCAAATTGTACGATATTAACCTGTGAAATAGCTGTGGAAAAGACAATTGTTTAATATTTTAAATAATAATAAAATATTATAAAATATTAAAGTGTGTTTTAATAAATTCGAAGAAACTCCATCGATGGTACCTCATTATAACTAGTAGGTAACCAATTTAATGTTTTTTTATCAATGATGCTTAATATTAAGAAATTCAAGTGGTTTTAAAATTGTTTGCAATGATTACCACAGCAATTTGCTATTACACAGATACAACACAATCGACTCGACTTTAAAATTGTCATCAATATAAGTACCCAATTAGTTTTTTTAATTTTTAATTCGCAGACACTAGTTTACACTTTTGTGTATTGAGTATTCAAGTGCAATGAGACATTTATATCATATATAAATTTATTGAAAAGATATATTGTTTGTCCAAAGATATCAATTGACAAAATATCTGCTAACATGGATCTTGTGATGTCTTTGATATAGTATTCAATTATCGACGTGGAATAAAATCAAAATTTTTTACCACACATTGAAAAGTATTTTTTTTTTCTGAAAAAAATTAATAACAACGGAAATGAAATAATAATCACACTGGTTTTTCGAACAATGAATGCGATCGAATGAACAATGGGTGAAGTTTCGTCTCTTTCGTGGCAATACAAGTCCAAAGTTTAAATAAATATTTACTTACTTTTTATTATTATTATTTCACCTCTCTTTCGATTTATATTTTCGTTACCTGAGAAGGAATTAAATTTTTGTTCGGATCTTGTTTAAAAACCAACGCATAATGATCTAAAAGTTATTTTTTCCATTCCGTTTCCCTCACCAACATCCCCACCATGCCAAGCTCCAACGATACTACGTGAATAATGAATAGGGTCATAATTAAAACGTATAGCTCATTCACTACCCGAAAATACGCTAAATAAATAACAAAATAAAGTACTATTAAACAGTTAATGATGATAATCATTGGCTATTTAGACATTTCACTTGTGTAGTCATTGAATGAAATCCAAGTGGCAAGTCTCTCACTGGAATTCTATTTCCAAGTAAAATAAATCAAGATTTATAATAATAAAGATAGAGGAGGCGTTTAGTTTGTTTTATTTTTATGGTAAACAATTTTAATATTTTGAAATGCCCTTACTTAAATATATCTACTTGTACACATTTTCACATTTATATAATAATATGTGGGCACATTCGTTGTTACACATTTAATGAACAAGTACATACCTAGAACTTGTTATAAGACAAATTATGTTTGAACTGAAAAATAAATAATTAGACAAATTTTCCTTATTATTTTTATATTTTTCTAGTCTTCAGAAATTAAATGTATACATTGGTATTAATCCCATAATAATTGATAATTATATGGATGCTTTGTTAAATTTTAATACACATATTTACATAGTTAATTTATTAACTATATCTACATTTTTCAATATTCGGGTAGTGATCAGAAGTGTAAAACACGTGAATTAATATACATATATTTATTTTATATTTAACCTGAAAATAATTCATTATTAGCAGAAATTGTATTTACTTATATGACTGCTGCTGTTTGTTTTATGAATTTTTTTTTATAAATTTAATTTGTGTTAAAATATTAAATATTCTAACTCCTATATACACACTAAGATAAGTTATGAATAAAAATAAATTAATAAAATAATAAATTATTACATCATGTAAGCAGGGTACACTTATAAATTATATTTACTTCACTGTATAAGTTATCAAGTTTTTTTTGTCTTCTGAAAAATTGTATAATTTGACTTCAAAACCGTCCAATTATACTTGTTATTATTTCTTTTTTCTTCAAATTGTCTGGTATTTATCGATTTTATCGTTTAAATATAAAATATTCAAACGAATAGTAGTTAAATAAATAATGAATGCAAAGAGAAAATATAAGATTCAAAAAAAAATTGTGAGCACTATTGACTGTTTTTAACAAAATCTTCGACAGTTTATTTACCGTGTTTCTCTGAAAGTAGAGGTCCATGCCACAACTAGGCAAGTCGCAATATTAACGAAATTTACTTTTCCACGAAAACGATTACATGGAAGAAATACGTTTATATTGGTACATTACCATATTTCGCATATAAATCCAATAATTTTCTTCTGAGTAATTCAATTCCATTAATTATTGTCTGTGGTGCTAAACAGAATGATATCAGTATAATATGGACTTGCCTGATTATATAGCAGGGAGTCCTATGTATTTCTCGAATGCCATACGATTTCATCGTTTTGTATATTAACTGTAAAATTATAACACGCCAATAAACGTAGGACAGAGTGATGTAAGACTTGTGATCAAAGTATGGATCGTACACCTAATTTTTATTAATGTTTGTTCGGTATTTAGTGTAATTTAAAACAACAAAAATTGTCAACTACTAAAACCATAAACATCAATGTGGTCCTTTTAGGCACGTAACATTTTAACGAATTAAGGATCAAATATTAAGTAGTATGTACCTACCTATGTTATTATGTTTATATATTCATAATGCCACATTATGCCAATATATATGGGTTATTTGTTTTGCTATACAAAAAAAAAAATATTTGAATACTTTTCTCCTTGGAGCTTAGGTATAACTCAATTGAACAGGTACAGTGTATACTTAATGTTTTTTCTCCAATATATTACTGGGTTGTCGCGTAACAAATAAAATACGCACGAGCTTTAAATTCGACCTAACTTAGTTACTCTAAAAGACATCCGACGAATTTAAAATATACGCGAAATCTATTAGATTCTAAGTGTCTGAATGGTGATAAACAAAAATAATACATTCTACGCTCCTCTGCAGTATGTGCCCTTCTTGAACACAATTCAACTATCGCTAACTTAACGCCAAATGGGGTTTGAAAATCTTCAAAACGTTTATAAGACTTATTTCTACAGTATTTTGTTTCTGTTAAAACAAATCTCCGGGATACTTGAATTTTCTGGTGGTTCAGCACTTTAGTGGTGGTCACCTTCACATTCGCCCTTCCCGCCGCTCGATGAAAATGGATTGGCTATATAAGGTGACAAATTTCCGGGTGGCTTATGTGAGTGCGTGCGCGCGTGCGTTTCTCGCACAAAATGGTATTTGCCGGATGTAACCTAATTTGTATGTTGTTGTATTGTTTCAGGACTGTCAACAGAACCGGAGAACGGGAAAAAAAATAAACGCGCCCCTTCTAAATTGTCTCCACTTTATTGTTTGTTTTATGCATTTTCTCTCTGCGCCGTGCGATCGATTCACGTCGCTATGTTGACATTAACGGCATTGGAAGTAGACTTAATGTCCTAGGGTGGTTAGATAAAAAAAAAAAAAAAATACTTAAGGGCGAATAGTAGTTAGGAGGGAAGAGTAGAGAAAATAAAGAGAAGGAATAAGATTTAACGAAAAAATTGTAAGTAAGGGGCGCGTTCACTGCACTTTAGGAGGATGTACTCGACAAAAGCAACAGCCATGACGTTCCTGGTGGCCATATTTGCAGTGAGCCCACTTCAGTCTTCCGAAGGTAAGATATTTATATTTTGCATGGATAAAGATGATTATGTTTACGGTAAACACTATCACTGTCTTGAAAAATATTAACGTTTTTGAAAATAATTTTTCACATAATTTGAATTTTGAATTGATTACTAAACCATATTTTCAATATCATTGTACCTACTTATAATTTATAAATGAACCAAAAATTGTCCTCAAACCAAAATATACCGACTGATGTACCCAATACGAATCGATTTACTAACGAAGCGAACAATTAGGAGGTCGGTGGATCAATTAATACGTTAACTGTCATGCGTGAATTCCCTGAATTTACCTCGGAGCTATGTGTACAGTTTTGTGGCCACGTCATAACTTTTGATATACTTGTGTTCGTGAACATTTGTATGCACACTACCTTTTTGCCAAACCATCTTCATGAACAGAAATAAAATATAAATGCCTTTACTGAACTGTTAAGTTAAGATCAGGACAGTTTATGTATTTTCAGTGAAAACATACTATGACAAGTTGTTATAATAATTGACTTTTGATTTTGTCAAATACCTATATGTCAATTTTATTTTATTGATTTGATCACTTTAAATAAATAAAAACTACAATTTTATGTATTTTAAAAAATTTAAATATTGTACAGAAGACACCTCGTGTGCATTTTCTTTGCCCCCTATAGAAATTGTATTTTTTCATATAAAAATATGTTTTTTTAAAAATTGAATTCAAAACATTTTTTCCCTTTACATTTTGACAAACATACAAAAAAAAGCTGCATACAAAATATGTCTACTCTGTGTGCAAAACAATTTTCAATTTTCAAGTGGAAATTAACGTGTTAATATAGGCATAATTTAAGTTCTCATAATTTATCTTTATTTAAATAAATCACATTTTGTAAATGTCTCTTGCTTGATCTAACTTAAGAGATAGGGTAGTTATGATCTCGATAAACGGCCATTCATTTTTTTATTACTAATTATTTAAGAAAAGATTTTTAACGTTTACGATGAAAATGTTTTTTTATAACATCATGCATCAAATCGTCGCGTTTATGGCTTCGAATAAGAAATTATATCTTAACACAAATATGAGAGTAGAATGAATGTTTGCTGCTTATATAGGAACTCACAAACTACTAAACTGATTTTGTGAAAATTATAAAAATGTATACTTTTTTTGCAAGTGTATTTATTATACAAATCTTTTGCTCGAGTCACATCGGGTGGGATAGCTAGTCGATTATATAATATATTACCTATATAATTGGTTGAATCATATATTTATTATTATGTGTAACATTACATTGTCAAAAATACAATTCAATAGTTAAACGCATTTAAAGACGTGCTACCTGTTTTATTAATTGTGAATAGTCGAAAATGTATTTAGTGTATTTGTTTAGGTATTATTATTATTAATTATTATTATTGTTATTGTCGTTTATTCGGGTTTAACGTTTAATGGTCGCCGACGCGACGGTTTAAATGCTTCTGTTTAATAATTTTACTGCCTCACTTAAAGTCTTGATTATTCGAATTATTTAGTTTTATCCGTAGGAGTACACCAGATTTCGTAAAGCTGCATTATTACGGACTACGAAGTAAACCTAAATCCCATAGCAATTAAATTTGAATTATCACAAGTTAATATATCACTGTTCATATTCATTATGTCTCCAACACCCCGAGAAACTTCACTTTTATTTTAACGCCTCATTAACAACTTTTAACAAGGCTTCAAGTCACCACAAGGAGAAGTAATTTTCTTTGAAAGTAAAAGTTTTTGCTATTTCTTTTTTCGAATTACAATTTAATTTGTTTCTTTCTATACCATTTGTAAGTTTTTCGCTGTATCGTCATTCCATGATTATACTGTTATCCTTCTTTTCTTTTAAATAGCCCCTTGTTTTCACTACCTTCCTACCTATTAATTATTTCTTTCTCTGAAATATACAACTAATGATAAACTTAATTACCAGTTTCTTTCACGTAGGTAGATATAACTCTCCTCCTTACACATATTAAGTTTAAATTCTAGTAAAAAGTTAATTGCAGCATAATGTGTATGTTTAAGTAAACTAGATGTACCTACTGATTAAATATATATATATAATACATAGTCATATATATATATATAATAATATATATAGTATATATTTTATATGACAAGTTAGAGAAACACAACACAACAGTAGTTTTTGAAAATAAACATATTACTATATAAATACATTAAACAACAAAGGTTATATGGGATAAAATCTTACATAATATAAATATTAATGAGTAGATACAACATAGGCCTTCTATACTACGAGACAAGCAATGATTGTACGGAAAGCGTAACGACATAGAGGGTACTTTTTGATTACTCGATGTAGGCACGGTAGTGCTGGGTAGTAGGGTAAGATAATATATAAATGTTTAGACAATTGTATATTGTCGTAAAGACAGCCTTCGTCACTGCGAAATGTTGTTACGCCACTCGTAATGATGTTGTTGTACATAATTCTTTTCTATTAGTATAAGGTCTATGAGATAAACTAATTAGATTAAATTACATTACATAACACATTACAAAAATCATACATAAACAATACTAATAAAATCAAGGACTACCAAAGCTCTATAATATTATGAATATTTGGTAACTATTGAAGCTGGTATATGGTATTGCATCCAATCAACCGAATCCCTATAAGCTGTGTAAATAAAATCTGTAGTAGATCGGGCATTCAGTGGCTATGTGAGGGATTGTTTATGATTTATGTCCAAGATCACAGGAAGGTGTAGTAAGTATGTAGTTTTCGTGTATACATCATGTGATTATAAATTCCATGACCAGACCAAAAAACTTATTTTATTTACTGTATAAATAATATCATGAATTAGATTTTACATAAGTTTTAAAAATTGTAATATACCTACTGGCATACGATATTATTATTAGTGATAAACTCCATCAACAAATCTTAGCCAGGCCAGGTTTAAATAGCGTCTTGTTTTCACTACTTACCTATTAATTTCTTTTTCCAAAATATAATATAACTAAGAACAGACTTAACTACCAGTTTTTTTCAGGTAGGTTACACATACTAGATTTAAGATAATGTAAAAAGTTATTGTATAGCGCATAATGTATAGGTAAATTATAACTACTTACTAGGTAAATAATACCATATAATATTATATTGTACAAACACTTTTATAATTATAATATATTTATTACCAAACGATATTATTATCAGTGATAAACTTTATCAACAAATCTGAGCCAGATCGTTATATTATTCTAAACATGCAAATTATTAAGTATAACTATTGGAGTAACTAAATTTACAATTCAAATTACTCGACTTGAGGTGATATCAAGGAGTTGTAGAAACCGATGTCTGAGAACTCCCATCCCTTGTGTAAAGGGGCCTATGCGAATAAAGTTCAAAATATCTTATCTTCTTAAGATACGTTTATTTCGAAATTATTTGATCGATATGTTTGGTATTCCAATTAAATTTAACAATGAACAAAAACAAACAAAATTAAAAATAGATGTCAATTTCTAAAATGTAAATTAATATTAAAAATAAAAACCGTTAGAAATACGTCGTATGGTATTAATATTAGCACACAAATTACAGTGGCTATACAAAAAAAATACTAAGGATCTATAATACAATTTTCTTCGCTAATGTTCTAGAGTAATAATTGTTAATAAATGGATTTGTAACATTTTTTTAGATGATAAATAATATTTTTCATGATTTACTTTATACTTATACCCATAAGTATAAATATTTCAATGAATCATTTGAAAATATAATATATCATTAAACGACTAAGTAATCTGCGGTAAATATGTTTCTTTATACCTACTTCTACTATGTGAATAATTTACAGTTAATTTAAATTTTAATTGTTCATTCGAGTAGCTTGTCTGCATTACTATTTCATAAGTAATAATCACCTAAGGGTTATTATAATTTAATTTACTCATTGCTTTCAATGGACATTAATCGGTTTAAATGTATATCCAAGGAGTGTTAATAAAATAATTTACGATCAATAAGTTTTGAATTTCTATCTATACCATACATTTCTACTATTCGATACCATATTATTAAATGTAGTTACATTCCAATATTTAAATTTTTCACAGTTTCTGATATATTGAAATATTGAGTTATTTTGCGTCTAGCACATCTGGCATAGCTATAGTGTAATACGATTAACTCTATATAAGTACTATTTATCGACATGTTCCCATATCGAGCCTTATTCGTTTTAATCGATTGCGCTGCAGTATTGCGCAAGTAGACATTATGTCAACTTTGAAACGAAATCATACGTAAATGTAATCTAAATGCAGATCGTTTTCAATAAAAAATGTTTGATTTTTCATTTTCAAAATTTATGACAAAACATCAAACACTTCCGATCGGCTTTGGCTTCAGCAGCATCAGTTGTCCACAGTGAGCTTTAAGTACTACTCCGTCATTGCAGTGGTGTCATTGCAGTCTTTGTAGGCATTATAATAACATGAGCTTGGTTCTGGGCGTCGCAGTGATCGTTACCGTATAGTTCATCGCACCTGGAAATAACAATGTATACTTAAGCGGAGCTTCCAAAGGCTTAAACCGATACATGGATATCTTCTAGAATTCACGAGTCACACATACACACACACACACACACACACACAAACACACACAAATGAACTTTTCTTGATTATGTTTCGATCGATCATTCGCGTATATTATTTTACGTTTCTATACATGCGGGCCTATGCTCTCACTCCGATTGGATACAGGCGTGGTCTAAAAACGCACGTTGTCGTCGTCTATAATAACATACACGGTCGACCGTTCGATTTCAATTAATGATAAAACCGCCATCCTTTACCACCGTTGACGTGGGCGTTTTGCCCTCCCCGCTCTCCATCCGGACACGAGTACAATAAAAACTGGTCTGCAGCACCGATGCGCGAGTATACAGACTGTGGGATTTAATTTGCACA